TCTGCCGCAGGCAGATGGCGAGGTGAGAGATGAGTGGTTACCAGAGGACGGGGAGAGGGCCATGGGGAGCTGAACAGCCACTTTCCAGGAGACATCATCCATGAGGCATGGCGGCTGGGTGCTCTGTGACCCCCCCCCAACCCACCTTGTCCCACTGGACCGTGGGGAGCTCCTGAGGGACAGCTCAACAACATGTACTCGAAGAGACCAGGGTGTTGTACCAAACAGAAAAACGGGGAGCTCAGATCTGCACCGTGTGGTCCAACATTTGTTAAAAAGGACGTAGCCCTGGAGTGCGTGGAGAAGAGGCTTCGGAGGCTGTGTGGCGGGCGCACCAGGCTCTCAGATGCTCCCTACTGCTCCTTGCCCGTGGTTGCACATGGTGTCCCTGTGCACACGGAGACCCGGCAGGGAGGCTGGCTGCAGGGCTGAGGTCTGTCCCTGAAGCCACACTCGCCCAGGCCAGGCACCTGGCCCAGGTGGACCTTCAGGCAGGCCGGTGAGCTGATGTCCTTCTCTATGGGTGGCAGTTCCACACCCCAACCCCCGCTGTGGCCATGTCCCAGGGGGTGACACTCAGTGGCCACAGTGGTGGCTAGCACTCTCTCCTGGGTGGGAAATCCTGGATGTTGGGGTCCCCCGCCCAGGTGAGCCTGGGTCTCCATCTGTAATGACTGGCAGGCAGTCAGTTCACTGGTGCCCGGATCTGGGGCTGCTCCCTCCGTCCACCCCAAGGCTCAGCCCTGACACCAGAACCCCGCCCCTGAAGCCCTCTAGGGGAAGGGTTGCCCGGCCAGCACTGCAGCCTCAGGGTCTGGCTGGAAGGGCTGGGGAGGGGTCCTGGGCGTAGCCAGCATCTGGGGCAGCGCCACCCCAGCCAGCCTGGCCTGACCCTGTCCTCTCTCCACTCCCAAGCAGGTGCAGCACCATGCAGGGGCTGGGGGCTCAGGTCTGCCAGCTGGTGGAAGTCAGACTCCTACCATGGTCACAGCCAGGCTGGGTCCCGCCGCCTCCACCCAGGCTCCATGGTGCGCTGTGGAAAGTGACACGGAGGGCCCACAGCGCCACCTGGTGGGGAAGGTGTTTATTAGGGTTCAATGCAGGTTACAGGGGACACAAGGCACAGGGGCGTGGGTGTGACCCAGGTGTCTGTCCCCAAGCATTCAGGTTACAGAAATTGAACGTGAACAGCATGGCATGCAGCAGTTGTCTGGAAAAAGATCAACACCAAACGCAGGGTTTCTGTGTAAACGGACAGACGGGAGGGCACTTCCTCATAAGCCTGACTTTGTGTTTAACATGCATTTGTACTGTTATGCAAATCAGCAGGAGCTAACGCTGTGCCCCACTAAAGAAGCTGATAAAAAAAAGCTGCCTGCGCCAGCTCACAAGGATGAAGACAGTTTTGTTCTGAGATGCCTAGAGCAGTTTCTCTGGGAGCAAGAGGCACTTCGACAACCTGCCACCAAGAGCCTGTCTCTGTCTTGGCACTCAAGGGACAAGGGGCTGTCTCAAGGCCGGGGTCTTGGATGGGACAGTGGTGGCTGGCTCAGCACAGGAGGTGGTGAGATGTGCTTTAGGCTGTGTGTCTGACAGCCACGCTCAACCCACTCCTGGGGAGCACTGGCCAGAGCCCTCTGGGCTCTGGGTATAGGGGGCTTCACCCCCCACGGGCCCAGAAGACGGTGGGTGGGTGGTGTCCAAACCTAGCCCCTCCCAGGTGTAACCTGACAGAACTCGTTGCTTTGGCAGCACACTTGGGGAGCCACCCGTCAAGGGTTTTGGTGGCTGAAGGGGCACCAGCACATAGGACCATGAGTGCCCTTCTCAGAGTCAGCTGTCTCCTGTCGTCACTGGCTGCTGGGTCAGCCACCAACAAGAGGGGACGGTCAGTGCCAGAGCGTGTTGCAGCGTGCCACATACACTTGTCAAGAGGCCTGTGCACCCCACATGCTGACCCCAGTCCCCTCTGGCTGCTGTCCCCTGCAGCCCCTTACAGAGGCCCCGTTGGCGATTCTAGTGGTTCAGGCCACCAGGGCCAGTCTGAAGCCGCTGGCCATCTGAGAAGAGCCACCTGCCCTGTACCTCTCCCCAGGGTCTCTCCCAGTGACGAGGCCCCGCCCTGTAGGCGGCGTGTCCTACCCCGCCTCAACCCTGGAGCTACACCGGGAAGAGGGGTGGATGCCCTGCCACCAGCTCTAGGCTGCCCGTGACCATCACATCATGTTGCCACCTTATCACAGAGCAGGGTGAGCAAGCCCAGAGACAGCTGACCTGCCCACTACTGTGTCCTCCTCTGGGCGCCCCATCAGCTGACACCTCTGTGGGCTTGGGGCTCAACTGCTAGGGCATCTCTCTAGAAGGTTCTGTACTTGGCTGACTTATAGGGGAGAAAACAAGCAGACAGACATTTGGCAGTGAGTCTATTCATACATGACACAGCCAGCTAATGCCCTGCCAAACCTGCCTGCCCTACTGTCCGGGCGCCACCCGGCCCCAAACAGCACCACCCAATGGTGCCCAGCCGGGCCCCTCGCTGAGCACCACGTTCCAAGTCAACAGCCCCACCTGACTTCTGGGGGCACGCTTCAGCATCCCCATCCCAGCCTTCCACGATGCACCTGCCTGAGCCAGGATGTGAGCACACGCCCCCCCACGTGCTCCCATGGGACACCACACCACACAGCCGTGCCATGCACACATCAACAGCTCAGGTCAGTGCGATTCTGACGTGACCTGGTGGTGGGGAGGGACAGGGGCTCTGGGTGATGACATCAGCCTCCAGGAAAGGGCCGTCAGAAGCAACAGCCACCGTCTGCATAGCAGTGCAGCCAGGTAGACTTTGGCTGCAAACACCCTACAGGGTGCAAAGCTTCAGAAACCTGGCCCACCCACCATTCCTGACACTCACCGCTGACGTCACGGCTGTCATCACACTGTGCCTGCACTGGCTTTGTAGGGACAGTGCACAGACCCTCAGCAAGGCCTGGAGGAAGCAGACAGCCCTGTCGGGGTGCTCCTTCAGAAGGCTGGGACCCCAAAGGTTAACTATGTGGACTTGCACCTCTGACCACAGGGGGAGAGGCCCAACCTGCCTCTTCCCCCCAAATCATGAGCAAGCCCTGGGGGCCACACCCACACACCCTTCAGGCCCCAGCTTCCACAACCACAGGACCCCAGCACCTAGCTGGCTTCAGACAGGTGGGGAAGATGCCCAGCCTCCAGCCGACCCTCTCCGTCTCACCTCTGCCTCCAGCTGTGTTGAGTCGGGGAGGGCTTCCAGGGGCACCCTGGCCCGGTCCTGACGGCCACAAGTGTCTTAGGGAGGAAGCTCCACCACCTAAAGCCAGCAAAGAGCCAAAACACAAGCTGCCAACCGTCCCAACTCCTCGCCAGAGCACCCGGTTGACTGGGCTGTCCCAGAGCCACGGCCACGCCTCGGGAGCGGCACACCCCTGCCCGAGCCCCAGCTCATGCCAGGTCCCGGAGTGTGCAGACGCAGTCCCCTCTGCTCAAGGGGGGGCCCCATGCAGCCCCACACCGGCCTGGGGGATCTTAGTACGTTACACAAAGTTCTTTAAACACACAGAAGATTCAAGTAATTTATTTAAAAACAGCTTTGTTTCACCTTGAAATATATATATATATGTATCTGTAGGTTGCTTATATTGCAGCATGATCCCCGTGCATCACATAGTACTAAAAACAGCAGCCCGAGGCGGGAAGAGTCAACAGGGCTCCCCAGCTCCGTGGCCAGCAGGCGGCCTCCTCCCCCTGGTGAACGGAGCCAGACGCCGTCCTGCTGGAAGCAGCCGCTGCGGGGCCAGAGAGCGTGCTGGAGACAGTTCCCCATCGCAGCTGATGATAACGCTTCAGGCAGAGGCCAGAAATGCTGCACTGAGGGCCGCCAGGTGAGGGGCGCCCCGGGAACACGGCCCTCCGTCACTAAGGCCCCGAGCCCGGCTTCGAGCAGACGCGCGGAGAGGTCAGCAGGACTCAGGCTGCTGCTGCCCGAGGTAGGCCTTTGTGGTGTGACGCTGGAGGGCAGGGCTGTGCCAGGAACTCGGGCCTCCCGTTTCCCAAACACGGCTGAAGGCAGATCAGAGTACACTGAAGATGACCCCTTCCTCCCCCGCGGCAGCGCCTGGCTTCCCTGGAGACGCCCGTGTGGTCAGGCAGAGGGACAGCCGTGCACTCGCTCACACATGTGCTTGCACACGCACATGCGTCCTTGCAGACACACGGCCAAATCTGCTTGTTGAACATGCTACCCGCCGGCCACTGCCTTGTCCAGGCACCGGGCAGTGGGTGCGGGCTCTGCCTGTGCCAGAAGCCGCTTCCCCCCCCACGGGAGCCTCTGGGGCCCTGCTCCCCTCGACTTTGGTGTATGGCATGACCCGTCAAACTACAGGAGCAAAAGAGATGCTGTACTTCTAAGAAAGCCACCGCTTCCAAAAACGTTTTCTCCCCCTAGAATAATCACCAGGAAAACGCTTTCTAACGGTTCACAGTCCCAACAACAAAGCGCAGGGGGAGCCGAGCGTCCAGACACCCAGGGGTGTGAGGAAGAGGGGCAGGAACGCTCAGTGCTGACAGCCGGCCGCTATCTGGAGCGCTCCCATCCGACACGGCAAAGGAGCCGGCGCTGTTTCCAGTTGTCACCTGAGAAACGCAGGCTCTGTTCTAACTCTTACTGTCTACACTGCAAACCTGGTTTGTAACTTAAAAACATGCAGAGTAACATACCTGCAGAATGAAAGATAACGGTTGAAATTAAAAGCTCTTTTTCAATTTAAAAAATATTTCAAATGATTTTTTTTTTTTAATTGTGGGAAAAGTAACATGTGGGTGTTTTTACCCAGTGGCTGGAACCTACCCTACAGCTGTGCTCCCACTATGTCTGCGCGTGCGCCCTCAGTTGGGGGCTGCGTCTACCTGCCGTGTCACTCCCCTCCGGCCTCCCGGCCCGCCCGCCTGGAATGTGTGTGTGTGAGTGCCGCTCAGACCATGGACTCCGTCTCCACTGGGCCCTGGGGGGCCTCCTTCCGAGAGAGCTGCAGGACTGTGGGCTTCGTGGTGCCATCGCTGGCTGGCTGGGCTGACAGGCCTTTCTGCTCCTCCTTGGCCTCCTCGGACGCGTCGGGATAGATCACCAGGAACGTGGCTGTCAGGAAGCCCAGGAAAGAGCCCACAGAGGCCACCATGGGGATGACACGGACAGTGTTGACGGCGTCCACCACGCTCCCGAGGGCTGAGGCCACTAGGATCTGGGAGATGTAGACCTGGCAGGAGAGGATGGCACAGTCCATGCCAAAGCCGCGCCTGGAGCTTCCGGGGCTGTGGTGGACGTACTGGAAGAGAAGAGGACACAGCGTGAGGCACACGGCGGGGCAGCACCCAATGCAGCGCACGCTTCACGCCCCGGATCAGGACTCGCTTCCCCTCGGGGCGTCCCAGCAGCCACGACTGCCTGGGTTCCTCCTGCCTCTGGCCCTGGCAGCCTCCAGCTGGGGCTGGGTTTGTGGGAGGGGCTGCTGTGGGCTCCTCCTAACACTTCCAACAGCACCAACTGCAGGTGAAGCCGGGTACCATGTGGGTCGGACCAAAGGAGGAGGCACATCTCCCTCTTGGTTTTTGAAAAAAGATCCAGATGAACACTGAGGCGGCTGCCCTGCACTGAACACAGGCTTCAGTGGACACGTCGCCTGTAAACTGAGGGCCTGGACCCTAGAGACGCTGTAGGCGTCAATGCGCCAAGAACGTGACAATCACAAGGGAAACCAGCACGGCGGAAGCACCGTGAGCATCACACACCACGAAGGACACCAACCAACATGCAAGGGAGACCCAAGCTGCTGCGTGAAAACACGGAACAGCATCCTTTCAAAAATAAATAAAAATGAAACCATTCTAACTGTGAGTGTGTGTTCACTAACAGACGGACAGGCCAGCCAGTAGCTAGCGAACTGGGAGCAAAGCAGAGGCACTGAACACGTCCCAGGCTGATTAACTGGGACGTCCCGTGAAACCATGACCCCATGAGGCGTCTGGCTGTGGGGAACCGTGACCCTGAACCAGAGGCCAAGGAACAGACCCCGTGAGAGTCTGCTGTACGCAGCAGCCCTGGCAACCACTTGTGCATGTGTGTGATTATTGTCAACATGTCACACGGCTTTTGGCAGTTAACGCTCTACAGGTGAACAATGTACTGACAGCCCCCCCCTTGATCAACACGACTGTCCATCACCGTGGACCACAGCTCAGTGCAGGGCGAGTGATGCCCCCCACTCCCAGCCCTGGTAACCACTGAGACACTGGTCTGTACACCCAACGCACCCCCAGGCAGGGGAAGCCACCAAGACAGCTCCGGTGGTCCCCAGCCCCCATGGTCCAGAAGGATCCTTACAGATCAGTGACTGACAACCTGGCTGAAAAAGGGGCGGCAGCCCCAACGGTCACTTCCCAGGAGACCTGCGAACCGATGGCCACATGAACAGCTGACAGGGAGCGTTGCAGCTGCAACAAGCTGCTACACCTGTGTGCCAGACTGCCGTGGGTGTGCAAACTCACACCCACCGTGGGGGACCAGTGGCAAGCAGAGTGCCAGCAACTGCGCTCCCGCACGCTCCTACCCCCACGTGGGTGCACCAGGTGGGACAAGATGGCCTAAGACACCCACTGCTGCACCCTAAATAGCCCCAGCCCGAAGCCTGGCTGGCAGAGTGCAGTAAGCGGCCAGGCTGGACGTGAGGACAGGCGCCCTCTAGGGAAGCGGGAGAGGCACCAGGGCCGGAAGGTTCTGGACTGGGCTCGCAGTGTGCCCTCCTTCCTGTAAACCCACTAACGCGTGTGCTTGTCTTTATCCATGTTGCTAACAGGTTTACTTTAAAATAACTCTGGCACGCATCGAGTCACAAAGTCTGCTTTGCCTTAATAACCGTGAGCAGTTGGAAGGAAGCCCTGGGCTTCCTGGGGCTCTTTCCCTTCCCTTTACAGGGCCCACAGATGTGGCTAGAGACTGGGGAGCATCTGGGGCGCAGCAGGTCTGAGCAGAGGAGTAGGCCAAGCGTCACACACAGAGCGATTCAAAGACAGAGCACTGAGTGCGAAACAATGCGGTGGGGCTTCTCTTCAGCCCACATGAGGGAGTAAGTGTCTGGGGTCTTCTGGGTTCAAGAAAATAGCTGTGAGAATTACCTGGCCTTTTCTAAGTGTGTTTACTGAGAAAGACACACTCCCCTGTGGAGCTCACAGTGTCTTACCACACAGCACTGGCCGCGAACACCCTTCCCCGCCCCTCCCCACCACACACACAACCTGGAAGCCCCTGAGCAGGTGCTGGGTGCGCTGGGATGACGGACCAGCCCCTGGGTGGCCAGGGGGCCCTGACATCAGCCCCAGCTCCACACCACCAGGGTCCTGCCTGCACAACTGCTCAGTCTCATGGTACCGGCCCCGCCTGAACACCTGCTTGGTCTCCTAGCTCCAGCCTGCCCTTCCCCGCCCACCTGCTTGGTCTCACAGTACTGGGCCCGCCCCTCCCCCCCGCTTGGTCTCCTGGCCCCTCCCCTCCCCGCTGCTTGGCCTGGTGGCCCTAGCCCCGCCCCACACACCTGCTTGCTCTGCTGGTACTGGCCCAACCCGCCCCATGCACCTGCACGGTCTCGGTGCCGTGGTGCACCCCCACATCTGTTTGGTCTCGTGGCCCCACCCGCACACCTGCTTGGTCTCGTGGTACTGGCCCAGCAGGGCATAGGGGCAGTAGGAGATGCTCATGGAGACGACACCCATGGTGCTGATCGTGATCATGGCGACGTAGACGTTGGCGAACATGGCCATCACGGCCGTGCCGACGGAGAAGCCCAGAGTCCCCAGCACGTAGATCACCCTGATGCTCAGGTCATAGTTGTCCAGGTACTTCTGAAGCAGAGCTGCAGTGGTGGGCAGAGAGAGCCGGAGGGCGACTCAGTCCTGTCCTTCCCATACCTCCCCCTCCCCGACAGTCCCCTCCAGGGACAGGACCCCCGTCCCTGCACCCAGGCGGGCACGTGTGTCCAGGAGCAGCCGTCTGCATGCTGGGGCTCTCACCTGAGCAGACAGCAGCGGTGGTGGCGTAGATGACCAGGCCCCAGCAGCCCATCTTCACCCCGTCATTGTAGGCCTGCCAGGATGTCGAGTTGGAGGGTGCCTGTCCCAGAAACAGAGGTGGGATGGGAGGAGGCGAGAGGAAATGCTGCACCCTCTGGGCACAAAAGGGTGTTTTCTATCTCAACAGAGGCAAGCTGAGAGGTGGTGACAGCCATGCTGATGACGCTCATCGGCCCCCACGTCGTGTCCACAGTAGACGCCTCCCGAAGCTGTCCACACCACCCCCCAGCCTTGGTGGAGACCTCACCCTTCAGTCTGGCTGGCCGGCCTTGCTGTAAGTGACCAACAACACGTGTCCACAGAAGACGCCTCCCGAAGCTGTCCACACCACCCCCCAGCCTTTGGTGGGGACCTCACCCTTGAGTCTGGCTGGCTGGCCTTGCTGTAAGTGACCAACAGCACGCGGCAGCCGTGCCCCACTCACTAGGCTACACTGTGGGAGGCCTCGCAACTAGAGCTCTGGTCCTCTGGGAACCCCGTACCCTGCAGAGCAGTTTAAACCAGACCAGGAGAAGCGAGAAGCTGTGTGAGGAGAGGCTGCCCAGGTGTGAGCCCGGCTGAAGCCCTGGGGGGGGGGTGGCCCCACTGAGCCCAGCCATAAAGGAGATAAATCAAGGCTGAGAGCTTCCAAGGTTCAGGGAGTCAGGCACCCGTGATAGTAGCTGAAGCCACGTCTCACTGCAGACTGCTCACTAACGCCCGTGGCAGTCACAATGGCTCAGCACAGATTCAGGACAGGACAGATCTCACCCCAGACTCGCCTGACAGCTCCTGACCATGCTACCACAGGCCAGACCAGTACCCGCATCCCCCAGCCCGTGCCACGTGGAACCAAGGCACACGGCAGCCAGGTTCAGGGTGCTGTGAAGGCAAGCGTGGAGCCAGGCCATGATGGTCCCAGGCCTGTCACCGTGGCGCACAGTCCTCCCAGCCCCCGAGGGTCCAGCCGGGCGGGGAGCCCCGGCCCACTCCCAGCAGGTGCTCTCACCTTGGGGTCGCCCTCAAAGATGACCTGGCCCATGAAGTCAGTGTAGAACACGGCCTCGGCGATGACGGAGAACCAGGTGAGCAGGTGGCAGAGGCAGAGCCGCGTCAGCTCCGCGGGCATCTTCAGCATGGACAGCCAGAGCAGGCGCACTGTGGTCTCGCCCTCCCCCTCCTCGCTCTCCGTGTCCCCACTGGACGTGGTGGCCCCGCTCTGGTTGCGGTGCCGGCTCCGCTGCCGCTGGCGCTTCTGCAGGTCGTGCAGGTCGTTCATGCTGCGCGAGGACTTAATGAGCACCAGGGCGTTGGCGCGCCGGAACCGGTAGTGGTGGGAGCCCACCTTGCCATAGTAGGAGAAGGTACTGGAGGCCTGCCGGCAGAACACATGCCGCCGCCGTCGCACGGAGCTGGCCGCGGGCTTCGTGTCGACGTGGGCGCAGCCACTGAGGCTGTCCCTCGGCGGGGAGCCGCTGCCATTGGGGACCTTGGCCTCGTCCATGTGGGTGCCGAGCAGCACGGCGTCCTCCTGGGCGCCGTCCCTGAGGAAGGGGGGCAGCGGGGGCAGCCTGGCCTTGCTGAGCTCCTGGCTGGTGCTGTGGGGCGTGCCGGGGCAGGAGGCGTCCAGGAAGATGGAGGGCTCGATGTCGTGGAGGAACAGCAGCTCCGGCTGCATCTCCAGTGTGGCGTCCGGCACGTGCAGCACCGAGTCGCTCTTGCTGCGCACGATGCCCACGTCGAGGTAGTCCAGGGCCAGCTCGTGCTCCGACTGCACCTCGTCCGGGAAGAGCGGGCCACCGTCCAGCACGCTGGCGCGGCACGGCGGGGCCTCGGCCCCCTCAGCCCCGCGCTCCTGCTGCGGGCTGTACTGCTCCTCCTCGATGCTGCAGAGGTGCAGGGCCACCGACACCGAGAACACGATGGCCGCGAAGAAAAACAGCACCTGGTTCTGCGTCCGGAGCCAGGTGCCCAGGAAGGTCTGGGTCCAGTCCAGGCCGCCCAGCACATAGCCAATGGCGCCCCCGAGGCCTGTGGTAACAGGAGAGCAGGGGGAGTGAGGCTGGGTGCAGATGTCCTGCAGGGAGCAAGCTTGGGCTCAGGGAAGGGCGCACGCTGGGGAGGGCTGGGAGGCCACCCCCAGGGCGGTGGCCACTCCCATCACAGCCCCACGACAGGACACAGACACATGTGCTGGGTGCAGAATACAACAACGTGTGAAAACAGCTGAGAAGCTAGCAGAGCCTGACCGTGGGACACTCCTCCACCAGGACTTCTGCAAATAAACTGACCTGAGGCTTGGCGTCCACACAGGTCGCCAAGGACACCCCGCACCTCCCGTCTCCCCTCGTGAGGCTCGGCGTCCACACGGGTGACCGAGGACGCTCTGCACCTCCCGTCTGCCCTCGTGAGCTCGGCATGCGCCACCCTCCCATCTGTGCTCACTGGGTATCCTCCTCCTGGCAGATGTGGAAGACTGCCTGACTGCCTCTAATGGGTCATACAGGTGACCACATCCCCTACCACCAGTGAGCTAGCCTCTCCCTGTCCCAGGTCGCATAGGCACTTGGTCCTGCTGGGTCTGGTGGTGGAAGAGGGCAGCCAGGGTCACCTCCCAGCCTGGAGATGCTGTGGCTCTGAAATCCCTCCTCTAGGGCCCCAAGACCAGGCGGTGCTTGCCTTCCCACCCCCGACTCGTGCCGAGGACCGAGCAGGTCTGGCATGTGCTGGCCTGGAGGGCTGGCCCGGCCCGTGCTGGCCCCGCGTGTGCTGGCTGGAAGGCGTCTCACCAGCAGAGAAGGCGTGGATGTTGAGGGCCATGTCCTGCTCCTCACTGTCTACCACGTCCAGCAGGTAGGCCCGGATGGGCCCCTCCGTGGCATCAGCACTGAAGTCCAGGACCACCACCCCCAGCACCGTGAGGACAATGCCGATGGGCTGCCGGTTGGGGACATCGCCGAGGGCCAGACCTGGCAGGGCAGAGGACAGGTGGGTCTCAGTGCCTGGTCAGGCTAGGCTCCCGAGAACACAGCATCACCCAAGGGGAAGCCACGCTCGCCTCCCTTTACAGCCAGAGAGCCACCTGTGGCCGGACACCTGTTGAGAAGCGGGGAATGGTTTGTCCAGTTTGCTGTCTGCAGGGCAAGCTCCCCTCAAAGTGTCACAGGACAGTCTCAGACCTTCACAGAACTAGGCCTTTCCATTGTTTAACTGAAAAGGGGAGAGTGGCCCTTTCTGTCCTGGCTGTCACGCAGCAGGCCACCGTGGGCGAGCAGCGACTTGGTGTCATGTCACCCAGAGAGATGAGTGTAGGCAGCTGCAAGTCAGTGTCTGCGTGGCCGTGGCTGCGTGCTGCCCACACAGTCTGTGCAGCTGTGAGGCGGCCCCTGACCTGGGCTCCTTACAGGGTGCTCTGCTCCCCACTGTGTGCCTGGCACCGCCGAGGGTCTGCCGCATGCCCGGTGGCCTTGTGTGCTGCCTCACAGGAGCTCTGTACACGGCTCTGCAGGCCGCCCAGCCCTTGGACCTTCTGGCACTTGCAGTGCTCTGGGTTTGCACGTGTGTCGGATTTTTAAACAGAACTGAGATGTGGTCGTGCCGAGCCCCACACTCACTCTGGGCGGTGTTCCCGGGGCCCGAGGAAACTCTGCTCTGAGGAGGAGGGAGGCCAACAGGCTCTTCACACACCCGCGATGCTCAGGGGCTCTGAGCGATGATCCTGAGGCCACCTGCCCAGATGAGCCCACCCCCACCAGGGTCAGCACTGACCACGGCCTCAGTTTACCACACTGCACCCAGACGGGCCCTGGGGCAGAGATGCCGGCCTCAGGCCAGGGCTCTCTGCTGGCCATCAGTCTGAACCCTCCCGCGTGAGGCTGGGCGGGGCACTCGCCCTGGGAAAGGGGGGCCTTGGCGAGCTGGGGGCTGCTCCCTCTTGGTGGCTGCACACCGAGGCAAGGAAAGGGCCGACAGGGCCTTGACAAGCCCATGCTGTCGTCTCTGAGCCTCAGCGTTCTCGGGTGAAAACGGGTGGTGAAGCCTGTTCTTGGGGCAAAGTGAAGCGGCTATGAGGGTCAACACTGGCCACCACGAGACGTCTGCACTAGGGGATGGCCTGGCTGGAGAGGCTGCCCTTTGGAGAGGGTAGAGCTTGGGGAAGCGGGCTGCTCAGGAGGGCAGGCACATCACAGAAGACGTGTGTGCCGGTGCCCGGCCGCCTGGCCTGGACCCCCCGTCCCATCTCCCCAGGGCCTCTGAGGTCCTGAGGAGCTCATCAACCACTGCACCCAAAAGGCTTTCCGGGGCTCCCCTCTTGCATGGCCCCGCCCCCGGCCACACCGTGCCTCAGCCCACAGGGCCCTGAGCCACTGCTCTGTACAAGGGCTGAGTCCCCACTCCCCCCGCCCCCAGGAGTCGATGGCACCAGGTCACAGCCCCGCACTGGGTCTAACACAGGGCTGGGTCCCCACCCTGGCTCCACTCCCCCCGCCCCAGGAGTCAATGGCACCAGGTCACAGCCCCGCACTGGGTCTAACCCAAGGGCTGGGTCCCCACTCCCCCCGCCCCCAGCAGTCGATGGCACCAGGTCACAGCCCTGCACTGGGTCTAACACAGGGCTGGGTCCCCACCCTGGCTCCACTCCCCCCGCCCCAGCAGTCGATGGCACCAGGTCACAGCCCTGCACTGGGTCTAACACAGGGCTGGGTCCCCATCCTGGCTCCGCCCCCTCACCCCCCATTCCCCCATTGCTGAGTCACTACAGGCGCCCTGTCTTCACAAGCTGCTGCCAGTCAGCCCGGCTTGTTGTCGACAGTTTTGACGGGCGCCCCAGGCAAAAGGGATTTTCCCACATGTGGTTTGTTAAAAACAACAACAGAAAAAGCAAAACAACACAACAGGCAGGAGCCAAGTCCTGGCCGGGCCTGGATGTTTTCAATACCAGCCTGAGAAAAGGGGGACCGAGCTCCGATAATTCCTGGGAGAGCCCTGGAAACAGGACGTGGTGTCAGATACGCAGAGACACGGACCGCCACACCAGGAAGCACTTCCCTGAGAACAGGTCCCTGCGGCTTTCCCACGTGGGGCTGGCGGTGGGGGCTGGGCAGCCGGCCAGCTGACCTGACGTTGCACCTATGCTACTGTGGACAGCGCAGCCCCCAGGGCCCAGGCGAATCGCCGCAGGTGCCCACGTGGGCACTCACCTATGGCCGAGCCGTTGAGGAAGAGCGCGACACCAAAGAGGACTCCGATGCACAGGGCCAGGATGAAAGGCCGTCGGCGGCCCCAGCTCAGCGTGCATCGGTCACTCGCCGAGCCGATGAGGGGCGTGAAGATGAGGCCGAGGACGGGGCTCAGGAACCAGGTGAGGCTGTAGTACTGCTCCGGGAGGCCTGGCAGACACACGGCAGGCACACGCGGCCAGTTATGGGCCTGCAGACCCAGGGACATGGGCCAGTGACACCCACAGAGACGGGTCAGTTACACACATGCAGAGATGGACCAGTTACACACCCACAGGCTCAGACACCCAGGCCAGTTACACACCCACAGACAGAGACAGGCCAGTTACACACCCCCCCACACACAGGCCAGTTACACACATGCAGAGATGGGCCAGTTACACACCCACAGACCCAGAGACCCAGGCCAGTTACACACCCACAGACAGAGACG